CACACCGCAGGGACGGCCCTGCTGGTGGCACTGGTCAGCTGTGCAGGTGTCCTTGGAATGCAGCCAGGCAGGGTTTCTCCTGCCCTCCCAGAGGACAGTCACCCACTCAGTGCCACAAAGGAGGAAAAGTGGTGATTGGATGGAAGGCAGTGTGTCCAGGCTCCCTGCCTTGGGGTCGCCTCCAACAGCTTCTGTGCCCGGGGGACTCCTGAAAAACCACCTTGAGGCTACAGGTTTTGGCATGGAAGGGCTCACAGACAATTTTAGAGTAAGGATGTCACACCTACCCTAGGTAAGTCAACTTACCCCTCTCCCCTCCCCGATCCTGGGTGCAGATGTCCGTAGGTGTTGCCTCTGTCTGCTGTCAGACTTTTCCCAGGATAAAGTCCTGCTTACGAAGACCAGGGCTCAGGGGTGAGCAGGAGCGCTGGGGCAATGGCACGCAGGTGTGGCTACTGGGGCACAGGCTGTCCTGGCCATGCCACAGAGAAAGGTGGGCCGGAATGGTGATCCCAGCGGGAGAGCCTCAAGTGCGCCAGGCCTGTTTTTGTACCCTGAATATTCAGTGCCTACTGCATACTTAGTGCTGTCCTGAATATTCAGTGCCTACTGTATACTTAGTGTTGTCCTGAATGTTTAGTGCCTCTTGCACATCTAGCCATCCTAGATACCTAAAGCCTCATGTTTACCTTAATATTTAGTGTCTCTTATGTACTTACGGATCATTAACATCTAACATGTACTGCATCTTGTATATTTATTGGTCATAAGTATTCGGTGCCTCTCATAAATTTAACAACCCTGAATATGTAGTGCCTCTTGTATACCTAGTCACCATGACTATTTCATATTTAGTGCACTCTGTATACCTAGTGATCATGAACACTTAGTGCCTCTCATATATTTACCAATCCCGGATTTTCGGTGTTTCTAGTGATCCTGAATGTTTCATGATCATTAGTCTTTAGTTCCTCCTGTGTGTTTAGTGAACCTGGACATTTAGTGTCTCTGGTGTATTTTATGACTATGAGTACTTAGTGCCTTTCTGTTGTATAGTTAGTGATCCTGCTACTAAGCCACACTTGTCTACTTGGCAACCATCAGTGTTTAGTGCCCTGAGGCCTTCTGTTTACTCATCACCTCCTGCATATTCAGTGTGTTGGTCCTGCCACCGCCTCTGCCTTTAAGACCCAGAAGCTCTGCTTACGACTTACCTCTGGATCTTGTACTCCAGCCTCCAGAGCTGCGAGCCCTAAACCCTATTGTCTATAATTTTTGCAGGCTGTGGTGTGTTGTTACAGCAGCCTGCATGGACGCTTGTCTATTTTACTTGCGTGACCAGAGAAGGATGGAGCCCATTCCTGGCTGGGGATGACTGGGAGAAGTCTGTGTTTGGGTGGCACTAGGGCATGGAGAACCTTCTGTGGATTCTCGAGGGGCTGAGGCCACAGCCCACTGGGCAACAAAGGCTGCCTGGGGCCCAAGGGCAGCTTCAGGGTCTGGAAGCCAGGTGGTGCCATGGACTTGGGAGTCCCCAGCCATCTGCACAGAAGCAGCTGCCACAGGCGGCAGTGGGACAGACGTGGCCAGCATCCCACTGCGGCTGACACTTGGTGAGAGGCCCACAGGAAACTAGAGACTCTTCCAGGCAGGCCCAAGGCCGACTCTGGCAATCAGAGTCAGGCCCCTGTGGGATGGGATAACAGACAGGGATGACGAGGACGAGTTTGGCACAGTCCACACTGGACATGGGTCAGAGCAGGTGCCCCAACTTGTTTCCCTGAAGGACAGACATCAAACGCTTCAATGCAGCATCTCGGGAGAGGAAGAAATTGCAGGGAGGAGGGGGTTAGGCTTTTTTGTTTTGTTTTTTAATTGGGAGACAAGCATTTTGGCATTGACCATGTGGTAACTGACCAGCTGGGGATGGGGAGAGACCCGTGGCCGGCAGAGAGGACAAGGGGGACGCGAGACAGAGCCGAGCTGAGAGTTCTGCAAAACTGCAAGCTCTCGGGAGCTGTGGTGGCTCAGGTCAGTTGTACTGGTGCTTGAGGATGTGAGGCTACATGTTCGAGGCCAGCCTGGGCAACATAAGAATCTCTCACTCATTAAAAAAATAAAATTTAAAAACTGCAAGCTTACTCCTCAGGCTGGCTTCAGCTGCACTCTTCCTCTGGGACATTTCTCTTCTTCCTCCATAAAGTGCCTGCCCATAGGGATGTGTGAAGTGTGACCAAGAAACTTCCACCGAAGGTGGGTGCATGTTGGGGATGCAGTGGGCAGGGAAAGGTCCCGATGCATCCACAGGACAGAAGCCTTGCAGAGATGAGCTGCCCACAGCCACCAAGAGGACCCTCTTCTCTCCACGAGGTCCCCGTGTGTCGGCTGCCACCACACCAAGGGCAGTCCTTGCCCCCCTCTTCATACCTGGGGTAGGCCAGTGGCCTCCTGGAAAGCACCAGGATGGGCCTCTCTCCTCCTGGGCATCTGGGACCCCAGGCTTTCTTGCCTTTCCTTTTTGTTCTCCTGGTTACGGTAGTGATTTGGTACATTCATATATTAGGTTCTGATTTAAAAAAAAATTTGAGCGGTGAAATTCACATGACACACAATGCACCACTTTAAAGTACACAATTCAGGTGCATTTAGTGCATTCACAATGTGGTGCAGTTACCACCTGTCTAGTTCCAGAACATCCTCATCACCCCTAAAGGAACTCCTGTCTCAGACAGACACTCCCTCCCTCCAGCCCCTGGCAGCCAAGTCTGCCTTCAGGATCCATGGATTCGCCTGTTCAGGACATTTCCTAGCAATGGATTCAGACACTCTATGGCCTTTGTGTCTGGCTTCACTAAGCATGTTGTCAGGGTCCACCCCCGTAGTAGCATGTCAGTGCTTCGTTCCTTTTCAATGACTGAATATTTCACTGTAACTGGATAGACCCCAATATGCTTATGCATTCTGCAGGTGATGGACATTTGGGTTGTTTCCACCTTCTGTATTTCATGAATAATGCTACCATGAGCATTTGTGTACACATTTGTGAACAAATGTATATTTTCATGTATTTTCTCTTGGGCATATGTACCTAGGACAGGGATTGCACGGCAATAAGGTGATAATGTCTTTATGCAAGAGTCTAATGAAGCTAGGTGCTTCACTACAGGCTCATGCCTCTAATGCCAGCACTTTGGGAGGCCAAAGCAGGTGGATCACCTGAAGTTAGGAGTTCAAGACCAGCCTGACCAACAAGGTGAAACCCCGTCTCTACTAAAAATACAAAAATTAGCTGGGCACGGTCGCGTGCGCCTGTAATCCCAGCTACTCAGGAGGCTAAGGCAGGAGAATCGCTTGAACCCGGGAGGCAGAAGTTGCAGTGAACCAAGATCACCCCACTGTATTCCACAGCCTGGGACACAGGGCAAGGCTTTGTCTTAAAAAAAAAAAAAAAATCTAATGAGCTTTCTCTTACAGAAGCAGGCAGCACTGGGTAATTTACATTTCTTAATCAGAGAACCTGATAGAGGACCAAAGCTGTCCACCAGAACTTTCTGTGATGCTGGAAATATTCTGTATCTGTGCTAACATAGTATCTACTGGCCACATGTGGTTAGGACAACTGAGCAACTACATCTTTGTATTAAATTTGAATTTTCTGAAAATTAAATAGCCTGTGTGGCTCGTTACTGTGTGTGGAAGAGCATAGCCTGAGATGACAAATGGAGTGCTACCCCAAAGTGGCCCTCCCACCATGCTGCCTCCGGCTTCACAGCCGATTTGAGCACCTTTTACAAAACCCGGAAATCCACGGTGATACTTGAAACACCTAAGCCCCCAGCCCCTGCAAAAATACCACCAAAGGGTATTTGAAGAGATATAGTGACCTACATAAATACATAAAGACAAAATCCAGCTAAAAATGAATGCTTCCGCAAGAAAAACAATAAAAAGATCTCTGAAGGCTACACCCTCTCCTGGCCGGTCCTTGCAGTTTTGCTTTACTGAAATGGTGCCCCCGCATGACATACAGTTTGCAAATACTGTGCTGTTTAGATCCACACTGTCGGAGCAGCTGCTTACCAATTTTTGGTTCAAATAGTTTCATAGCACTGGGATATTTTCTAAAGAAGCAGATTTGTGGTTAGCTGGTACCCAGGAAGCCTGGGCTTGAGTAGATTCAATTTTAGTAGGGTAAACATAAATTATGTAATATTCCTGAATCATTTTACTGGCCTGTATTACAATAAACACATAATAATTGCTAATGGCCCTGATCTGATAATAAATGTATCAAAATATCACTACATACCCCACATAATATACAATCGCTGTGTGTCAATAAACTAAGTATTATCACATTGGGGATTAAAGAAAAAATAAAGTAGGAATCATCCATATTTTGAGAAATACATTCATGAAAATAACAGAAGAGTAACACTTTCTGAGCTGATTTTGTGGCAGACATTTTTAAAGGATTATCATGGTTTCAGTCAACGAACCCCTCTCCTCTAGGACAGCCATTTCAGTTAATTTGCCTGGAGGTCTCCAACGCTCTTAAACCCTCCTTTTTATAAGGAAATGTGTCACCTTCCTAAAGTCCCATGTATCATCATTCCTCTTGTTCTAAGGATACTCATTTTACATTTTCTTACAAACTTAGTTTTTCTTTTCAAAAATCAGTGTACAAATTATTTTGTTCTCTGATTTTAGCAATCGATTTAAGGGATATTTGATTAATGTTTGACCAACCTAAATTGAACAAATTCCTTTAATTATCCTATTC